GCTTCTGTGCCTTGCCTCGGTTTGCGAACCAGACTCGGTTTTCTCTGTTTCTTTTCTCGAGGGAAGGGAGAGGTCCCGTAGACCATCTCTCAGTGGCCGTGGGCTACATTTTGCGGCCCAGGCCATTTTTGCCCATTTCGGAGGCCGGTTCCGGTTTTTTCAGGACCGTTGGCCGTGTGCCTCGGTTCGGACCGCCTAACCATCTCCGTTTGCTCTAAATTTTGGCACACATTTATTTTCTCCCTTTTGAGGGACACTGGGGTCAGAGAACCCACTTCGTGGCCGAACGCCACTTTTGGTGCTTAGCAGCCCATTTTCGGGACCCCGAACGCGCGTTTTGGCCCCCGAGTATTCGTTTTGCATCGATTTTCGTTCATTTTTGGCAGGTACCTCTGTTTTACCATCAAGGAAGGTCACTGGAGGTGGGAGGCCAGTAATTATCTTGGCAACCAGTTATTATTCCATTTTCGCCCTCCGACACCCGTTTCCTCACTTCCGAACCAATGTTGAACACCTTGGAGCCACTTTCTTCAACCCCAAATCACATATTTGTGATGCACACACATGGGAGGACCCTAAAAGTCATGGCCGGCCACTATTTCCATTTGACCCTTTTGAACCCTTCCTAGAACATGGTGGTGGCAAGGAGATAACATGCTTGTGCCGATTTCTGGGATCCGCGGATTTGCTCAATGCCGTGTTCTATTGGGAAACGTAGCAGTTGATGATAGGTGCTTGGGACGGCCTGCAAGGTATGCAACCATGATTGCGCCATGATGAGATTGTACGGCGATGGCAGCTTGACGACCAAGAATTCCACATCCACCATTCTGGAACCTACTCGAACGGGTAAGCTGATTTTTCCCAATGGGTACTCTGGACTGGCATTGAAGCCGAATAGTGGATAAGGCGTTTGATCTCAGAATTGATGGCGGAGGCTAGGCACGCCAAGGCATCCGCGTGTGTGTTCTGGTCGCGTGTTATTTGGTTCAGTTCGTGATGGTCAAATTTTGCCAGCAAGGAATTGGCCGTTTTCATGTAGGCCGCCATACGGTCGTTTCTTGCTGTGTACTCCTCCTTTAGCTAACTGATTACCAATTTTGAATCACAAAACACAAGCAGACACCGAGCCCCGAGAAGGTGCGCATTCCGTAGACCAGCTAA